AGCAGTCAAAATAATAGTACCACTTTTGACTCTTTCAATCGAAAATCTGCAGTAACAAAATCATAAATTTAACAAACAACAGGTAAAAATTTCAAAAGATACAAGTTATATCCACCCATATAAATAAAATGAGCTCAGAGTGAAAAAAACACTACATTCACTGAATTAATAACCAGTCCCACAAATGTCTGCATATTTTACGAGTTGCAGATGTGCATTTATACTTTAAACAGTGCCACATTGAAGTATGACATGGTTTGTCCTATATTTGCTGTGTTTTCATTACAAAAACAGCTCTACAGAAAAACAGAGGACTTCTTTTTTAAAAGCAATTATAAAATGCATCTTGAGACATCCTTATGCATTTTATAGCATACTGTACAAGTAAAATACTGCTTTAATTTCAGTATCTCTATTTTGAACCAGTTGTGTGGTTTTACTATTTAAGTGTTTTTAAAAAGATCAGCAAAGAAAATTCACAACAATAGTATGCGTAAAAGCATGCCGTAACTTTGAGATGTCATTGAGATTGGCAAAATTAAGGAACTACTTCAGATGCAGTTTAACTCCTAGATGGTTGTTTTAACTTCAAACAGGGTTCTCAAAATAGTGCCCAAATGCACAGTGCTTGTTGAACAAATTCTGATTTATTGAAGGTAAACATTTACATTGGCTACAATGCTATAGCTGTTACAAAGCTGGATAAAAGAGGCTTAAATAGCAATAGAAAGCAAGTGCAGTAAAAAGTGAATAGAGAAAATATTTGGCCTTAGTGACCTTCTGGCAGTATTTATGTTATGTACATTTTGTTAAATATTTGTAGTAACTCTAAGGCACCACAGGCTAAATAGCAGGCTGCAGTATGATTTTGTGCACAGAATTTAATAAATTTATTTGGAGACAAAAAGGATATAGAGTTAAAAGAAACAGGTATATTTTATGCTTATATAAAGAAGTGGCTGCTTGTTAAAATTTAAAGATACAATACATACTGGGTAAGTTCAAAAATTATTTTTAGAATATTAATTAAATGTCTGTGTAAGGACTATTTTCACTGACGTTCTGGCAAAAGTTTAATGCAATCTCTTCAACAGGTTTCCAACACAGCAGATGTGTTTATCTAAAATCTTTTTTTTTTCTTTACAAAAATCTTTTACCTAGTACATATACAAAACCACAATGCAAAGTATAATGGGCAGTACTTTACATTGCAGCTGTTTTGTGGCAGACTAAAACTTAGCAGGAACATGCAATCCAAATGCTACAGAACAACTTAAGGAGTCTTATTCCTTCAAGTCAGTGGCTGCTCCTGCAGCTGGAGAGCAGGAGAAAAACACTGATATCCCAAAAAAGACAGAGGAGGTCAGTGCTTTCAGATCTGACATTTCCAAAGCCAAATCACGAAATTTAAATTAATGGTGATATCCTTGAGCATTTCACACACCACCATGCACACGCTCTGTGAAGCCCCTGGTGGTCTAGTGGTAAAGGCGCGGCGCTATTACCGCCGAAACCCGGGTTCGATTCCTGGTCAGGGCCACTCCCGGGCAGGTGGGGCTCGTTAGCCCTTAAAGGCAACCCACCTACGTCCTAAGGACCTCACTGCCACTGTCCAAGCTCGCTTGGCCCCGGCAGATGAACCTTAGGATTAAAGGGTGGGCTCAGTTCCGCGCACACTGTGTCTCACCTAAAAAATCCAATGCGCAGGCTGGAAGGTGGAAAGACCTTCCCCGGATCTTCGCTCGCGAAGACTGGCCATTTATTTATTTATTATGCACACGCTCTGTTTAATGACGCTCTGCTTGGGGCATATCTTCCCATTTTTATGTATCCCCTTCTGAAGCACGTGTTCCTCCACTCCTGAGCACTTTGAGGAATAAATCTGACTGACTGGACTCAAGATCCTTTCTGACCAACTCCCAGTGCTACAAATAATCTTAACTTCTCTACAAACAATAGACCTTGTTTAGTTTAGTCAACAGACTCTTCCTTCACCTTGAGATAGTGTTTGCAATGCAGAAATTTTGCGGACTCTGGATTAACACCTCCAAAATTAACATTTTGGAAGTAAAATACTGCAGGATGCTGCGTGCCACAGCAGGAAAGAGATGTGTGGCCAGGGACATTCCAGCTGCCATACTGCTGCCAGCACAGATTTGCTGTGTGGTGAGTCATGTCAGTCAAGGTTCATACTCTTTGTTTTTCACTTTCATTTTCCAGAGACAAGGAAAAGAAAATCTAAATTAATATAATGCTTAAATAACTAAATACTGCTTTTGTATTTTCTTCTGGTTTCTTTTAGTGTATCTTCTCAAACCATGAATCCCTTCATTCAACTGTCCCTTTTCAGTTTCTTTTTTTAATTTCTACTTTTTATTCAACTTTGCTCAAAGTATTCTAATTTCTTCCACAGCAGTGGAAGTGATTTATAAGCAAAATATAATTGATCTATGCACAAAGTCTTCATTTGGAGTGATTTTATACTTGTATTAACAGAAGCATAATCTTAGAATTATTAATCACATACATTTTTAGTGCCAATAGCTATAATCTTAAATTCATACAATATCATTTACAGTTTTTCAAGAGCTAGAGAGGGAAAATATAAGCCTAAAAAATTCCAGTAATTGAACAGTTCCTGTAAAGCATTAACCAAAATATTACACAACCTGGACACTTTATAGTAAGTAATAAGAAGTTGAAGAATGAGGTTATCAAAACTGTGTAGCACTGTTGAAGAAAACAGGGCTATGCTGATTCATATCATAGGAAAAGGTAAATCAAATTGTTTAATTTAGCCCTTGAATGCTAAATACTTGCCTAAATCTCAAGAAATATTTAAAAACATCTTTTTGGGTTTCTTTCTCAGTGTTTAAAATATTTAGCAATATATGGCAGTTCATAATTAGGGAGAAACATTAAGGTACTAGGAGAAACATTAAGGTACTAACCTAATTCTTCTGTCAAACCTTTCCCATATGAGGATTTGTATTTTGTTGAGGGATGTAGCAAGAAGTTAGAAAGTTCTTACCAAGAATTCCTTTGGTTGCTCCATGCTGGATATGGGGACAGCTAGATAGCTATGACTTCATGGAAATTTCTAACAAGAGAGATGGCTGTATTTTCTTTTCATGACAAGTTTTTGTGGAAAGCCTACATCTTTACATCAGGAGTTACAATGATTGCTCTATCACCAATGTGTGCATGGTAACAGAGGAAGGGAAATGCAAGGGCTTTGAGGATAACACACAGGTCTTGCTCAGATGACCCTGAGTTTTTGTTTTTCATCCCCTGGAATCCATGTTAATGTAAGTTATTTGGAAACACTTGGTAATATGCAACTTCCACCCTTGGATAAAACCCCAAGGGACAAATCCTTCAAAGCAAATCTCATCCTCAGGCTTCTTCATTCCTGTTCTTGGTGATAAAAGTTTTTGTTCCAGCTTTGAAGTTTTTATAAGTTTATGTAAGTTTTATAAGACATTTAAATAAGGACATTTTTTAGTAACAGATCCCAAATGAAACTCTCTCCTTCCCCTCATCTTTTCAAATTAATAAGAACTAATACTTTGTTAAATAATCTGAAGATTCACATCCACCTGCAGATAAGACAATACGTTAGAAGTTTCTCATTAATATGTTGGCTAAAGAAAAAAGTGAATGAGTTTCTGTGTTGCAAGAGAACTTTTTTTTTAATTCAAATGCTGTTTATGTGTGGTAGTGGGCTTGTGTACTTGTCATGCTATAGTGTGACACCTATCCAGGCCGCCCAGCTTCCCTGGGCATGGTGCTACCCCATACTGCCATGGTCTGCATATTCCCATGCCGCTGCTTTGTTTTCCCAGTCCCTTTTTCCTGCCATGCACCACATGGGACCTAAGCTGCTGATCCCACCTCGTCCCTTCAGAACTACCTGTGTCCCTGAAAGGTTTTGTGTGTTTGTCACATTCTGCCTTTTACTCTCGGCCACCATCCTTCTTCTCCGTGGGTAAGTCAGTTGCCTCAGTACTCCCTGAAGCAGATACCTTTCAACAGAGGCAAGGCCTCCATATTCCTTGGAGTCCCACTTTCCTCTGCACTGTCCCTTACTGTGGCTCATCATTTAAAACACAAGTTCTGAGCAGTCCTAAGGTTTGGCAGTGATGTATTTTTCCCTACTCTTTCCAGTGGTTGTACTTACGATGGCACCAAGCATGACCAGTACTATGATCCCACAATGCAAACTGAGGCTGCCTTACTGCTAGTTGACTCACTAGATACTTTTAAGGTTTCTTATTTCAAAGGTTTCAGTTGTGACCCTGACGCAGCTTGACGGGACAGAGAAGATGACTGCTTGCTTGGCTTCTGCAGTTCACTCACGGTCATCTTTCCTTTCTCCTAGTTTTTTGGCCAGACATCCCAGGGTGGTGGATTATCAGCCCCACAAATAATCATAGGACACCTTTGTGGACTTGCTTCCCATTTTCTTTTTGTTATGCAAAACATTGTGATTCAGATACATATGGCAGGCCAATTACAGAGAGACGGACATGCCAGGGTTTCAGCTCTCCTTCTGAATTATGCTGATTTTGTGTAGTAACACAACCTAAGGCAGTCCTTACAGAGATAAACAAATTTCAAGAAACCTCTGTTTCAAGAAATTAACCTGTATCCTAACACAAAAGATAACAATTACAATAGTGATTCTCAAGTTAGGGGTCCCCGAAATGGGGGCGGGGGGAGTCAACAGAAATAATAGCAAAATAGTGCTATGCAAACAGAATTGGCTTTACAACTCTAGATATGAACCCAGAAAAACTGAAGTCCCCCACAAATAAGTCTAGAATGTTAAAATACACCTCCAAGTATACACTCCTAGGCCAAATACCACTATGTTACTTGTAGGACACTTCAGCTGCAGCAAGTAATGCAGGAGTATAGCTTGAACTAGAAAGAAGGAATCACCCATTTCAGCATATCTAATGCAGTTCAGTTTCAAAAAAAAACAAACACACCTGAGCTCTGTTGTGCTGTTATTTGGCACTTTAATATCTTTATTATGAAAATAACATAATAGAGCATTCAGTCTATTTTTGCTTTCTGAAGTGGCTTGTAGTTGTTGCACAGATGGGTAAGTTGAACTGCTCTCCATCTTCGAAGGTGTGACTGGTGCTTCAAGACAGCTACCACAAGGGCTGCCAAGGGCACTCATCAGGGCACAGGGTATGCTTTATGCCTTGGAGACCAGGCCCTTCTCTATCTGTGTTGCCATCATGCTCACTTTGAAAAAAACAGTTGATAGTTTAAAAGACAGAGAGATTTAAATGATTTCTTTATCCCCAAAGAATAAATCAACAAAAATATTTCACCAAGACAAAATGAGTAACATTTTGCATTTGTTTATATTTTCTGATGTACCAACAATCAACTCAACCATGTAAAAGCCTTAATTCAGCACATACTTTTAAATCTGTGGATAAAGTTAACCACAAAGCAGTTTCACTGAAGTTAAGATGCAAACATTAAAAAACCTTGTTGATCTAATGAAACTGTAAAATCTAGTATATAAAAAACAAATTTGTAAAAAGGAAGTTAACAGCTTCAGGATTTCCAGGTGTTTGCTAGGCTTTATATAATCAAAAAATGCAACTGACCTGCTTAATGGATAAGACAGTGTTTCCAGAGAAGATAAAGAAAGCTGAACATACACTTACACATTCATTACTTTTTGCTTTGTTTCACTCAGTAAATAAAAAATGTACTGTTGCTTTCCCCTTTGAGTCTAAATGCTAGCTGCATTTATGTAAAATAAAAAGAATCAAAGATAGCTGCAGGTAACCAATCCCTTTCATTTTACATATTCCAGACAACCTTTTATTGTGTTTTAATATGAGAATATTTTACTTATTGCAAAGTATCCTGCATAATACAGGTGCTCCGCTATAAAACCTTCTCTCTCACTTATAATTCAGTCATTCTAAATTTAAAATACCAGTATACAGTACTAAAACCTCCAATTGAAGTTTAATATAAAAATATCAGCACAAAAGTCCTTTTTGAAGTCTGTTTATTGTGAGCAACCCAAATGCCTGTTTAATTATTCACTGTTCTAGTATAATAATAGATTTTGCTCCCCTACAGTTGCTAATTGATACCATCCTGGTATTTTGATGAGATAAGAAATACTAAGTAAGAAAACAGTAAGTATTCAAATGGTTAATTTGTTTAGAATAATAATAATAAATTAGGTTTTTTGCAACTTCTTCAGTTCAAAATCCAGCTTTGAGACTGAGGAAGGCTTCACATCAATTAAATAAGAGTGGTCCTTTTAACCAGTAGCAGTTTGATTGCCAATGACTCGCAGAATCTCTTTATGAATGCTTGGTTCCTGTGTATTTATACTGGTATCACCCACTTGACCATCTTCATAACTAAAAAAAAAGGACAGAAAATAAAAGCAAATTAGTTTTTTATTAATCTACCTGAAAATATGCAAAACTCTCCTTCTTTCAGTAATCAAGATTTCTTACTCCGTATGTTAATATGTTTCTATTAAAAACTCTGCTGAGCTTCATCATTATAAGGTCATTATATTAAGATCCTAAACTCTGGAGAGTGGAGTGTGACAAGGTTGCCATTGTCATTGGAACCCTGCAGCTGAGTAAGCCAGTAGGATCCAAAGGGGACAAAGGGGAAAAGCTCACATCACAGACAGGAAGCCTTTAATGAATTCTTCAGCTTAAATACACACAGTCCAATAAAAACTATGCTTTACAATACATGGATAGACTCACTGTAACATGAAGTAATGTCACTGAATGGGAAAAATTAGGGACTCTCCATTAATTTATTTTGTAGCAAAACATCTACTAAGCCTTTGTCACTAGCTTATCCATGCATTTCTTAACACACGTAAATACAGTGGAAGATAAAAAATGAAGTGATACTGAACAGAATTAAGAAGTCTTTTATCTACTTTAATTAAAACCATTGGAGGGAACATGGGAAAAAGGTATAGTAGGAAGCTGAATGTTAAACAAAATGTTAAAAAAAAAAAAAAAAGTTGAATGTTAAACAAAGAAAAATCTTTACTCACACAAAGAAAAATCTTGTACACACATGATCCGTATTGGGAACTACCCATATCTCTCCATGTTTGTGCAGATCGGGTGAGGTTATCACTATCAGGGAAAGAATAAATTTCGTAGTGATGAAAATGTGCCTGAAAAATATCGCTTTAAAAAGTTTGGGGTCTTATACACTTTAGATAGGCTTCTGGGAATGTGTAGTTTTCCACCACACGTCTGGAGTGTGGCGCAGATTTTGAGATGGCTGCTACTACAAACAGAAAGATGAATTTGATTCTTGTGTCCAAAATATATCTTTCAGAAAACATAGATGCTTGATGTTATGGTGGCAAGTTCTTAAATGGAATGAAAGATTAAAAAATATATTTATGATTTTAAATAGCCCTAGGGCTATTAAGATAACTAATCAGCCTTTGGAATAGATATTTGTGTATAATGACGGCTGATTCAAAACCAAGATGTTTAAGACAACACCTGAAACTGCTATATGGCAAATTTTGCATTTGCAATACTACACAATTAACCATAGCAATTATGACTTAAGGTGTTCAAAAAGCTTGCCAAAACTTGCTCAATGTTTAGAAAACAGCAATGTATTTGACGAAAGGTTGTTTACCAACAGAATGAGGACAACACAGGCAAGTAAGCTTTTTATTGCTAACTAGAAGCTATACCATCAATCTGTATTTGAAAAGATTTCAAAACTAATTTAAACAGTATCCTTCTGGACACGTAGTTCAACTGTGGGATAAGCAGGTTTATGGTGCACTGGGTGAAGAACTGACTGAGGGACTGAGCCCAAAGGGTTGTAGTGAAAGGGGCTACATCTGGCTGGTGACTAGTCACACCAGTGGTGGTCCTCACGGCTCCATTCCAGGGCCAGTTCTGTTCATTGCATTTATAAACTACCTGTGTGCAGGAGGTGAATGCACCATTATCAAGTTTGCTGATGCCAGACTTGGAGGTGTTGTTTTCTGGAGAGACAAGAGGCCTTTTAGAAGGATCTAGATGGACTGGAGCATTGGGAAATCATTAATGGCATGAAATTTAACAACTCCAAATGCACGTAATTATTCCACGAAAATTCAGCATGTGCTAGAGGTTTTGTTTAAAGAGGGGAAGCATTCTGAACTGAAGTATAAAAGTCTGTTTTTGAGCAAGTACTCATAGGCCTGTAAGTAGTCTCTTACCTGAACAACCAATAATGGAACTAAAGGTCGCATTGATTTGCATCCAGTAACCTGTGCATCCTGTGACCATGACTAAAAGTTTCACCAGGACTTTCAGCTTACCTTCACATAAGGCTATGCATTTTAGGTTACGGCTTTGTAAAAATTGTGACTGCTGTCCTTTCTTCTGTGACTGAGATTTAAAGCGTAAGAAATCATAATTAGTGCAGTAAAACAAACTGAGTGAAAAAGTAACAAAGTAGACAGCTGCTGTTTTCAGTGCTTTATTAATGAACAGAGGCAGTCTTCCTAATATTTTTCTATTTTATTTGTAAATGTAATAGAATTTATAAAAATGATTCTATTATTTATTTGGATATTTGTAGGATGGATTTGAACTCCTTTATCCAGAAAAATAACGTTCAAAAGTTTCCAATTGTTACAGAATGAATAATACTATCAGAAATACCAGAATGTTACTGATAAACCAATTGGTAGCAGAAAAAAAGAAAAAAAGTTAATTTGATCATCAATTCTTTGGCCACTACCCTGATATTTTACTGGCCTCCCTACTTCTGAGAGCTTCTGCTGTGACCTACCAGTATCTCTTCAAAGCCAGATTATTCTGTGGTTTCTATGTATTAACCATGGAGACAGACATAAGATTACTTTCTTGAAATTTAGCCCTACACACAGATACTGTGAGTTTGCTTTAGATAAAGCAGAATTGTAATGGTTTAATATGTAAAAAACAGGAAAAATTAAAAATTACGTGCTATAAATTAAATGCTACTAATTTCCAAGCAAGAAGCACTCTCAAGTTCTTTTCCATCATTCTTCTGGAAGTCTAAAACTCAGAAAGTAAGGACTTGTTAGGGATCATAATGCAATCTGTATTTCATTTTCATTCTCTTCCTAAATTCTTGCAGAGTACAAGACCTGCAATATACTCTGTAAATTTTTACTAAAGCAGTTGTGCTGTATTTGATATTTGCAGTCTCTGAACTTGTTGATTTCAATTCAGTGGAATAAAACTCTTCATTTGCACAAAGGAAATACTACCTCCTTCTCAGCTACTAAGTTCTCAAGCATAAACCCCATGAATCTTCCAGAGATGGTTGATGTATTGTACCTGTGATGTATTACTGCCTCTACTGCCTGAAGCTGGTTCATCTTTAGCTGACACCTTCTGCTGCTTCTTGTTCATCCCTAGGAATATTAAAATCATGTAAGATACCCTGGCATATAAACACTGTAATAAGAAAAGTTAAGTGCAAGAATGAAACAAGAATCATGGTGGGAATCACAGTCCTTTGCGTGGCACCCAGTGAGCTACTTTACTTTGTCATAGCAAATCACAAAATAATCCCACAAATTAGGATTATAGCAAAGACCTTAGCAAAGTCAAGTTAGCATTAAGTAAGTGTAAAAGCAGATAAACATGAGATTAAATGTCTCTGAATTCAGATCAGGAATGTTCTTACATGGGCTGCTTTACAGGTCAGCATGTCCTGAGTCTAACTGACCTTCGGGATGAAGCAAGTCTGATTTACTGAGGGTGGGACAGCAAAATCACAAGAGAAAGAATTTTGGATATTAATCTTTAGCACTGTATATGGACTTACATGAAAGGACTCATTAATTTTTATGAGTAGGTCACTTAAATCTTGAAATCTACCCTGTTTTGATCCCCTTATCTACCTTTAAAACCATTAGATCATTTGTCAGTCATTTGTCAACATTGTATCTAATATCCCTCTCAAAAATCTTTGTGCTTTAGATCTCATTCGTATTGGTTTATCTAAAACTCCTGTGTTATAAGCTACTATGGGCTTCCTTGTCTTTCCAGTATCCCACATTTCACGGAATCAGAGAATCATGGAATGGTTTGTGTTGGAAGGGACCTTAAAGATCATCTAGTTCTGGTCCCCCTGCCATGGCAAGGGACACCTTCCACCAGACCAGGATGCTCAGAGCTCTATCCAGCCTGGTCTTGAGGACTTCCATTTCTTGGCAGTTTTCAAACACAGACTGAATTATGGGGGAAGTCTAATTCTTTGAAGGAACAAGACACGTAGGACTCTTCCATAGCTTTTACTGGCATCAAGGACTACACACTTGATGGGAACACAAGACCTCCTTTCTGGAGGAGACAGGACGGAAGTAACCAAGACAGGCAGAGACAGGAGTAATAACACGCTGAAGTTGACAAAATAGTATTGTCCCAAAAGAAAGGCATTTTATTAGATAATTATACTGTAACCAGAACTTTTAGTGAGTCCTAAAAAGCTTCCATACTTGTGTAATCTCTGAAAAGCTAAAAGTGCAGCTAGAGATAATTGATGTTGAAGTTTCGCAGATAGCAGCTCAAACTGTTGAGCTCTTAGAATGAATTTTGACATTACCTCCAAATAATGAGTGTCAGAAAGCATAACTAAACTTCTCAAAATTACCTAGATGCACGTAAACACAATTTCAGCTATATACTTTTACTTTCATATGTGAGGAAATGGTAAATACCACATACCTAAAATAAAATTCAGCATATTTTAGAAACTCTCTAATTTCTTACAGACACATTCCATATGTCTAGTTTCAATTTGTGATTCTTATATGGAAAACTCTGCACAACTCCCTTTTGGATTCACTAGTGAGACAAATTATGTTTTCTCCCCTTCTTAGGCTAAAATAAACACACTGTTCTGCACTTTTTATGTAATCCTGACATGGTGATACTTGGGAATACTCTTGAATATACAATGTTGAACATGTTTATTGATGAATATTTGTTTTGTCAGATCAGGTCATAAAAGACCATGAATCCATAGGTAAAGTTAGATGGATTTAGGCAGATACTGATAACAATCACAAAGCTGGATTTCCACAACATAATCAAGACCTGCTCCACTACACAAATCATCCAGTATTTACTAATATTTATTTAGATCATAGTTTCAGGATACTCAGCACCTTGGAAAATAAGGACAGCTTTAAATAAGTGAATTTAGATTTTCTCTTTTTTTTAATAAATTAAACCATGGTCAAAAAAGATAAAATTGAATACAGTATTATAAACAGTGAAGCTGGTATGAAAAGCAGTAAAATAAGATACCCCCCTATAATTTCTCCAACTTTAGATGATTTATAAATATCACCTGAGTAACCAAATGATATGCTTGACAATGGACTAAGGTAGATTCCACTTCCAAACATTGCACCGTGGAGCTGAAAAAGAGCAGAGTGGTTATGTGGCATTAATTTGGTTACCTGGACAAAATAATAATTATAGGAACAGGTCACAGAATTACACAGTCACAGAATATGCTGAGTTGGAAGGGACGCACAAGGATCATCGAGTCCAACTCCTGGTCCTGCACAGGACTATTCTCAACAGTCACAGCATGTGCCTGAGAGTATCATCCAAATGCTTCTTGAAGTCTGTCAGGTTTGGTGCTGTGGCCACTTTCCTGGGGGGCCTATTCCAGCACCCAACCATCCTCTGGGCAGAGAATCTTTTTCTAATATCCAGCCTAAACCTTCCCTGACACAACTTCAGGAGAGAGTTGTGACTGCAACGAGGTCTCCCCTCAGTCTCCTCTTTTCCAAGCTGAACAAACCACGTGACCTTAGCCGGTCCTCATACGGTTTCTCCTCAAAGCCCCTAACCATCTTTTTTGCCCTCCTTTGGACACTCTCTAGTAGCTCAATATCTTTCCTATATTGCAGTGGCCAAAACTGCCACAATATTCAAGGTGAGGTGGCAGTGGTGCAGATCAGAGAAGGAAAATCACTGCCTTTGACATGCTGGCAATGCTGGGCCTGATGGCCCTCAGGACAAAGTTAACTCTCCTGGCTGCCAGGGCACCAGGACCCTCAGGTCCCCTTCCTGGCACTGCCTTCCAGCATCTCATTCCCCAGTCTGTACAAATATCCAGGGTTGCCCCATCTCAGGTGCAGAATCTGGTACTCTCCCTTGTTGAACTTCATCTGGTTGGCGATTGCCTAGTGCTGTAATTTGTTGCGGTCTCTCTGCATCTCATCTCAGCATGTGCCTTAGGTGTGTGAGAGATCTCAACCCTCAGCAACAACAACAACAAAAGCATAAACAAAGGGGTTTACTTTGGTGAATTTTAGTGTGTAAATCCTGCTTTCTTGGGGAGTTATCTTCCAAAGATACTAATAAAACCAATCAAACCACTATGACAAACAGCAGAGATTTCCATTTCCTTTTTTTTCAGTGTCTTCTGTATCCCAATCCTTAGTCAGCACCCTGGGATCCTCCTCCAAGCTATACATGGACTCAGCACTGAGGAAGAGCTGTCAAAACCACAATACTAAAACACCCTGCATTAGAGCTTCCCCGTCCCTCTTGTACTTTGCTCTGTACTAGTGATCTCCTGATGATTCAGTCTGGGAACTGAAGTTTGCAAATGATTCCTTCTGACCTGCACTCGCTTGCTTCCATTCCCAAAGAAACCAGAGGAGCAGAGAAGGTGTTGTCAACACAGTTCCTGTAAATCTAGCATGATCCTGGATCCTATAACATGGAGATAGTTCAGGCAGCTCTAAATTTTGTCACTGTTTTTAAGCAGTACCAAGTGAAGCCTCCTGGAGGTGCTGCTCTGCAATGTAAGACTGAAACGCTGATTCCAGCAGAGGGATTTTCTAGATGTTTTATCAGACACATTATTTCATCTTAATTTTATCAGAAAAGTACTTTTTCCAGGAAACAGGAAGGTATTCGAAATCATCTCTTTTTCCATCTATATGACTACTATTAACTAACCCCTTGAAAACCTCCCAAAGCTAGTACATAATCAAGAACAGGTCAACTAAAATATATTTTGTCTACTATTTACCTGCAGCCTCGTATTGGAAGCAACAACTAAACCGTTCCTCAGGATGGAATGCCAATTTTCAATGTGTGAACCACTGAATAAAATGAAAAAGAAAGCATTAAAGCTCAAAGTGTAAAATGCAAAATGAAATCAGAAATCCTTTAAAACAGATTCACAGCTGCAAACCACAAATACCAGAACAAAAAAATAGCACGGCATTTTTGATACCTTTTGATTAATATGAATATGAGTACTCACTGAAATGCAAAGGTACTTCCATAGAGATTTTTAGCAGCTCGGAAATTGGATTCTTTGGCTGGTGGACTGCTGAGAAGTAGGAACTGGTGGGGAGTGTGCATAAACTTTAGTTGCTGTAAAATATGAGTGTACATAAGAAGAAAAGTTGATTATCAATGAAAGTATTGTATTTCCCTGATAATGGTCCTTGAGATATCATGCTGTTTTACCCAGTACATAACCACACCTAAATAACTGCATGAATTAAGATGAAATTGGTCTCATAAGCACAATTCAGTTTTAGCTGAAATCAAACACTAAAAATGTCTTTCAGTTTATGAAACATGCAGAAATTTTTGAAGCACATTTCAGTCATATATGGGTCTAGTAATTAAATTGAACAATTTCATTATAGTATTCTGATCAGAGTAGGTTTTGAATTAAGGTTATTTAGAAGGCTGAAGATTACTATGCCCTTAATCAGAGGATCAGAGGCACATATCTCTCTAACATTCAAGACTCATGCTTATTAAAAGGTGTACTTATATATGAATCTCCTGGTATATCCTGTTTCTGTGCACTGCTTTCTGTACAATTCTGCATCTAATATTATATATGGTAACAAAATAAATGGTGATGTTCTTCTCACCTAATGTCAGATGACTGCAAGGTAGACACTTGTATTTGAGCTACTTACCTCAAATAGGCCTTTTATGAGCATTATTCCCTTGACCTATTTCAGATATTCACAATATGACTCTAAAAATCATGACCCAAAACCACCTATTTCACTGTCTTGTCTGTTAATGGAGTTAACCAGTTTGAAGCAGACACCTATGTTTCACTAAGAGACCCCCACCTGAAACGCTAACAAAAACCATGAAAAATAAGGAAATAATAGAGAACCCATAGACACTTACCCTATTCACTGGTAGCTTCACAATATGTGATCTATTACTAGAAATAACCCTAAAATAAGAAACAGTTCAATTAGAGATGGTAACCAAAACAAACCTTTTTCTTAAAAATGTGTTATGAATGGCCACCACAATGCATCCAGCTGCAGGCCTTTAAACCTATCAGATGGAAGTAGACCAAACCTTAACTATAAAGTGAGATCAGAGGACCCAGATGAGGCCCAGAAACAGTCCAGAACAACTGCAGCTGAAAATATCAATGTTAATTCTTAGGGTGGCCTTATACCAAATTATGCTGCTCAACTCATTATTCATTACAGTTGATACTTCAATAATTATTATCTCATGTGAATCAAGTTTATACCATTGTAGAAGAGGATGTGCAAGCGGGTCTTGTTTATCCATCTGCTTCTTTATTTCCAAGTAAGGTGCCTAGAAAAGAGTAAATAAGTTCTTTATTTCTAGGTTGAATTTTGGACATTACATTGTCCATGATTTAGTCAATTAAAATGAATTCACAGGACTCACTATTTGGTTTAAATCACAATTTTACTGATATATAGCATACTAGAGTTATAAATGTGTTTTGACAACGACAAGAATTCATATAGCAATTATTTTCCCTGGAGTGAAAGAATAAGCATTTAATTAGCATCAAAATGACTATTATAGCAAACATTGGTGATCTCAGGGAGAACAGCAGAAGACATCTACTTTTGTTCGGCTCTTGTATTGAGAAACTGGACTGGACTTTCACAAAACTAAGTCTTTCAAAATACCCCAGAATAATCCACTTTGGGTTTTTTAACTGTTTGAAAGTATAAACTGGTAAAATACCATGTCATATAACTCCTTTGAAAACCTTTCTTGATTTCAATTAGAGTTCAAAGCACCCTTTTAAAACTCATCGGTCCAAGAATTATTTTAACATTAGAAGAGTATGAAATGGTGATTATTTTTTATTTTTAAAAGACATATGAAGTAACAGAAATACCATATTTTAAATTTTTTTGCAAGATGTTACAAAAATTAATAAAAATATATGCATTTTAATTTTCTATTTATTTTATTCATCTCTACATATTTTTTAATCCAGAATCCCAAAGTATTTTGTGAATACATATAGAGCAAGATTTATAAACTGCTGTGAGGATACATTTATATAGCAGTTGGAAAAGCAAGATCATCATCATGGCTAGGCTTTGTAAACGAAGATTTACGGAAGAGATTTCAACAACCAGCTATAATCATCTGGGTTGTTTGGGAAAGGAGTGTGACAACAAACAGGAATATAACTATCAGATATGCTACTGAAATAAATAGCATAATCCCAAGAGACCCAACTTTCCAAGCCTCCAACTATACTTAGCTGATCAAGTGTTTTGCTGTAACAGAAATAAAGGTATCATTCAGAGTGCTGTCACAAAATCAATTTCTTTTGGTTTGGCAGTAAAGAACTCTGGCTTTAATATTTCCAGAAATGCAGCAGTTGGGGATTATCTCATTATAATGTCCCATTTTGCTGTTATTATCTCTTATTTATACTTCAAAAGATACAAGTTCTACTCCATCACTTTTACTTGACTGCCATTACGGATATTCTGGGTTAGTTATTTTGAACATATATTTTAATATTATTACAGCTCTATACGAAAGAGATGACAACACTGACTTCTTGACCCATCACAGAGAGCCAATATAAACATTTTTCAATTTCTAGAAATAATTATTAAGTAAGGTAATTATTTTTAAACTCACCTGTGTCATCTCTCTAATGGAAGTGATACTGTCCAATGCTTTCATGACTCGGTCATAATTCTTCTTCTGATGCAGCATAAAATAAGCAAATAAATTCAAAGAATATTAGTCTTTGGCTCAATAAAAACCTGAATTCTTTGAGTGTGTATAAAATCAAAGCTGGGATCAATGTTGAAAAAAACAAATCCTTTCGAACATTTCTAACCTGTAAAAATATTGTTATGATGATTTTTCTTCAAATTTCATTGGAATCTCCAACACACTAAAAAACCACAACTGACTTCTAAAACAAATATTTTGTAACTAAACACAGGTTCTGACAGTTAGTTGGACAGCATGTTCTTAAGATAAATAATGCAGTGACTCCGGATCAATTTTAAATAAAATGTGGATAAACAGATGTGTTTACTTTGCTAACAGCTCTAAAAAATATCACAGGGCCTCTGCCTCACCCTGATCCTCATCTACCTACTGCTCAGGAACCACTACCAGATGGCTCCATCTGTTCTGAGTGAGTGAGCTTAACAGTTCATGCTTCATCCACTCCATATGACTTGTCACCTTCAGGAGCTTCACTGTTTGCCATCAAGTCTTGCCAATGTCTGCCCATGGTCTTTCACCTTGCCCAAACTGACAATAAGCTGGGAGGAGATGGTATGGGCGCTGCCAGCCCAGGGATTCTCTCCACTCCTCTCCTGGTGTGACCCCCTCTCATAAATCCTCATCTGCTTCAAATGCCTCCCTTGCCCAGCCACCAAACAGCTGTCTCCTCCTCAGCCCCCTTCCAAGCACCTCCTGAAAATCTTTATTTCCACATGGTACAGAACACACCGTGAGAAAGAACTGGCCTTTGTTCAGAAAAAGTGAAATGCATCCCAATGCAGAACATGCTAAATTCTCATTTGTGCCTTTGGGGAGATGGCTTAAGGGACACGGAGTGAGGGCTTCCCTGAGAGGCAGTATTTGGAGTCCGAGGAGTAGGTAGTGCAAACACAATTCTTTATTTCAAAATTGACCTTGTACAAAACCTGACTATTATGTAAGCATCTGATAAAATTACATTTAAGGAAATGTTTGCAGTAAGAAAATGAGATAAGAGCAATAACATTTTTAAGAATAAAAAGATGGACTGGAAATCCCTATTTTTACATGGCCTTCACCTCTCAAAGTCCATCTTTCTCTTTGGGTCCAACATATACACTGAGAGAAAGACACTTAGAATAAAATATTTTGCATCTAGGATTTGCCCCCTGAACAAGTTTCTTGTCTTTAACATAACTTGGAACACAACTTACAGTTTTCTTATGGTTTAGGATTGGTATTCTCCAATTTAGTGCTCACACTGAAATCAAGCACCTCTTGTTCGCTCTGCCTTTCACCCCTCCCTCTCCTCCTTTCCCCTGCCCAGGGCTAGAGAGGAGAATTGAAGGCACAAAAGGTAAAGATCACAAGTTGAGATAAGAGCAATGTAGTAGAAACAGCTAGCAGATAAGAAAACAGACAATAACAGCAACAATACTGAAGACAGGAGGTACAAGAAAGAGGTGAACAATTCACAAAGAAACAGCAATAGCTGACCTCTCCCTCTGCCAAACTACACGGACCAGGAAGGGACTCCTTCTCCCTGGAAGAGACTCTCTTCCCCCTGCCCCTGGCAATGACGTGAGGTAGTATAAGATAATTTCTGGGTCCTAGCCATGCCCCCATCTGGGTATTACAAAAATTAACCATGTCCTGGCTAGAACCAGGACAAGTTTATACTCAAATACCTTATCAGAGACAATTAAAAAAAAGCTCCAAAGTTTTGAACACAAGGAGAGTGCATAAGAAGTCTTTGCTTTGAAATCTCATGCAGGACTAAAATCAAGCGATGACATAATTACAGGTAACTACTTACCCTGGGGTTAAAGGCCAGCATCTGAGGATCATTAGGATCAACTACAGAAGGATATGGCTCAAAAATGACAACTTTCCTAGGTGACTCTAATGCAGACCGACACATGGATACCAAGAGATCAACCACCTAGGGATAAAGGAGGACATTTATTCAACATGTGTACTTTTATATCGTATCTTCCAGCCTGCTTTTTTACACATTATAGTCATACCATATTTCATTGTTACCTATATTGTCCAAACTGTGTTATGCACAGAACATAGTTTAGGACTCAAATTTTTCCATTAACCTCAACAGGGTTTGGGGTCAGCCCTGGTATATTATTCCACGTGCATAAGTAGGACCAGTACAAATGTATTATAATGTCAAATACATTGCTTTCATTTCTGTTTTTTCTTGTGCACACAAATTCCTGTATTAAATTCATTCTCTATGGAAATGAAGTTGTGCTTGGTCTGTGTTTCTCTGCATAGTACAATGCCAGTGAAGATGTTGCTCAAGAACAAAGAACAATCTGTGAAATTTGTACCACTTCCTGCTGTTCTCCTGAAGACTGTGCTCATAGAAACACTTGTAAACATTGCTTCTGGTAAGGCCAGAACAGTGCAATGATTTAACAGTCATAGTTCACACTGGGGTATCCTCTTCCTTCCATCCTGTTGTACAAAATTACAACACAGCTTTGAATATCCAAGATACACAAGATTACCCTGCAGGATCATGCATGTAAATGTGCACACAGACACGCAGTCACATGTGTACACATACCTACATATACAGCTTAGCAACAGATTCCGATGTAATTGTTTCAAAATATATAATTCAGAGGTTAAAAACAGAATACAGCAATAACAAACATGAGTGAATGCAGCTTTCTGGCACCTGTGAAATATAAAATCAGTTGATAATGAAATCCAAAGTTGCTGCATTAAAAAGTAGCTGCAAATCAGCTCATTTACTCATTTTTTCTGTGCCTTCTGAAAACATTTGTGTATGAAAACAGACTTTTCCAGGAAATAAAGGAAAAGCTGAGACAAGCTTTTAGGCTTAGTAGGCATCCCTGTTCCTCCCATAACTCCATGCACATCAGATCTCAACTCAAGCTGTTTTAGAAGTTTTTATTTATCTGCCATTGTATCTGATCATTTGGAGGGGAAAAAATGATGGTCCTTTAGAGAAGCAAAATGAAAATAAGAAAAATGATGAAAGGGAAAAGGGACTATGCTGTGGTGAGTCATACAGTTGCCATTCTCTTTCTCTGCTCCTTCAGCATGAATGAACAATTTTCTCCATCAGTTTAAATTTATTATGTTAGTTCCAGTTACTAAATATCTCACATATATTTAAAAATGAAATTACTGAAGTAATGATCCCCTCCTCAATGCTGCTCTGGTTACTTTCCATTTTATAATACCTGTAAGTGTGATGAATGTTTCAAAACAAGGCATATGCATTAGCATTAGCAAAGGAGACGAGAAGTCCGCATATGCAATCAGGTCAGGCAACAGGCCTGACACTGTAAATGTATTACTGCAAAATTGAGCATGAATTCCTACACCCTACAAAAGCACTTTGTAGCCTGCAGTCGCAAAACACTACTAAAGCAGAGTTGTTTGAGTCCCCAGATCCCTTAATACAGTGCTCAAAATTGTCTTGCATTCTGATTTGTATGATGGGATTTTGTCTTCAAATTTGCACAGTTCTACTTAGAACACCATCCCTAAGCACTGTCTTTTAAACTGTTACCTCTTAGATTGTTTCGGATTCTGCTTTTTTTTATGTCTGATTTCCCTGAGGTCATTGCTTTGAGACAACGCAAGGCAAAGCACCTTAAATTGGGAGGTAAATCTAACAGAAACCTTATAATACAACATTGCATATATATTCAGTGGTAATAGGAAGTGCTATGTTCTACTAAATGTCCTTAAAACTGGGTGCAAACTCCTCTTCCTTAGCTGAAGGTACTGAGAAAATAAGTAAGGATTAAAATATTTTCAAGGAGGACAAGATGACACTTGCTGATGACAATACACCTGCAGATTTTTAAGGATGCCTTCCCTAGACCACAACAGCTCTCTCAATTCCCATGTTCAAGAGATCAGGAAATGAAGACAAGAGGCCAGCACAGATGTCCAGACCTGCTGGTCAGACTACCAGGCAAGAAGGAAAAGCATAGGCAGTGAAAGTGGGCACAGATATTCTACGAAGAATATAGGGACACTGCCTGCTTGCATCAGGATGGGGTGAGGGAGGCCAAGGTGAATCTGGAACTGAACTTGACATGGAATGCAAATAATAGTAATGAGGGCTTCTATAGGCATGGAAGCCAGAACAGGAATGTCAAAGAAAGTGGATTCACCTCTGAACATGACTGGCAAACTTGTAACAGTGGATGAGAAGGCTGAGGAACTTGACAGCTTTTTGCCAGTCTTCAGTGTCAGTCTCCCCTTCCCACACTGCTTGAGTGGATGAAGCTCAAGTCAGGGAGTGGGGAAGAAAAGTGCTTCCCACTGTCAGAGAACATTAGATTTGAGAACCCCTGAGGAATCTGAAATTATAGAAGTCCATGGGACCTGATGATATGCATCCCAGAGTCCTGAGGCAACTGGCAGGTGGACTTGCCAAGCCACTCTCCATGATACTGCCAAAGGCATGACAGTCAGGTGAAGTACCAAATAACTGGGAAAAGGGACACATTGTATCAATTTTTAAAAAGAGGGAAAAGGAGGATCCTTCAAACTATCAATGTAGAAGCGTCACCTCTGTGTGAGGGAAGATCATGGAACAGATCCCCCTACAAGATGCTAAGACACATGCAGGACAGGGAGGTGATTCAAGACAGCCAGTATGCCTTCACCAACGACAAGTCCTGCCTGACAAAACCAGTTGCCTTCTATGATGGAATGACTACATCAGTGGTCAAGGGAAGGGCTACAGTTGTAATTTATCTGGACTTCTGTAAAGTCCTTGACAAGGTGTCCCACAATATCCTTCTCCCTGAATTGGAGAGAGATGGATTTGATGGATGGACTGTTCTGTGCATAAAGAATTGGTTGTATGGTTGCGTCTAGATGGTAGGGATCAATATCCCAGTGTCCTGATGGACCCTCAGGGGCCCGTATTGGGACCAGTGTTAACATCTTCATCAATTATATAGACAATGAGACTGAGTGCACCCTCAACAAGTTTTCAGATTACACAAGCTGAGTGGTGCAGCTGACATGCGTGAAGGACAGGTTGCCATCCAGAGGGACTTGGACAAGCTGGAGAAGTGGGCCTGTGGGAATCCTGTGAGGTTCAACAAAGCAAAGTGTAAGGTGCTGCACCTGGGTCATGGTAACCCCTGGAATCAACACTGGTTGGGCAAGGAAGGGATTGAGAGCAGCCTTGCCAAGAAGAACCTGGGTGTGCTGGTGGATGAGAGGCTGGACACGACCCAGCCATGTGAACTCACAGCCCAGAAATCCCAGAATGACCAGCAGGTCGAGGGAGGTGATTCTGCCCCTCTGCCCTCATGAGACCAGTCCTGAGTACTGCATCCAGCTCCAGGGGCCCAGCATAAGAAAGACATAGGCCTGCTACGTCTTTCATAGTAAGTCCAGAGGAGGGCCACAAAAAAGATCAGAGGGCTGTAATACCTTTCTGATGAAGGAAGGCTGAGAGAGCTGGGAAGAAGAGCCTGGAGAAGAGAAGGCTCTGAGGAGAACCTTACTGCAGCCTTTCAGTACTTAAAGCAGGCTGATAAGAAAGGTAGGGAAAACCTTTTTAGCAGGATCTGTAGTGATAGGACCAGGGTTAAAGGTTTTGAACAAAGAGAGGGAGATTTAGACTAGGTACAAAGAATTTTTTTACAGTTAGCGTGGTGAAACACCGGCACACGTTGCCCAGAAAGATGGTAGATGGTCCATCCCTGGAACCATTCAAGGTCAGGTCGGATCGTGGCTCTCAGCAACCTGATCTAGCTGAAGATGACCCAGTTCATGGTAGGGGGTTGGACTACATGACCTTCATAGGTTCCTTCCAACTCAAACTGTTCTGTGATTCTCTGCTTCCAAATGTACATGTAATATACCATGTATGTCCCTGAATTAAAAAAAAAACAACTCTAGCACCCAGAAACTTATAGTTGAGATCTTTACAGGACATCAGGCTGAGAAAGATGTGAGGTTTCATCAGCAGATCTCTCTCTGTTTTTCACAAGCTTAAATAGTTAGCCCAGTGTCTGGTACCCAGATGTAAATATAGCCATGTAATGGTCTACAGACATCAGAGGAAGAACTGGTGTTCAGATTACACAGTCATATTCTTGAGTGATGAAGGTCGTGTACACTATTGCAAGTTTCTTCCTCTGAGGATATGCCCATAAGTGGTATTCAGGCACCTAGCTGAACAGTTTATTTTCAGTGGCTAAACCCATTAGTACTAGTCACAATTAAATAAACGGAACACTTATTCTTCAAAAAAAACTCATGCTGCTTACTATGTAAAAGCACAGTGACTGGTAAATCGGAGAGGAGTGCCTTTTTCCTTAAGATGTGTAAATTTTTAGCTTAAGATCTTAAGAGGATTTTAAATATAAGATCTTTTAACTTAATGTATTTTAAGTGTTAAATGGTGATTTGGAAACATAGTTTCAATACTTTAAGAAAATGATACCATTATAACTATATCAATAACTTTCTGCAGTCAGGAAGCAAGCTTATGTTAAATTCCTGATCTTTGAGAAAAGAGAAAAAAAATCTATGTAGAAACATCAGTAAGGACTTTTCCACTGTTATTTGATGATCAAAACAACAGATGCTCAGTGGATAGCTGCATCCTAACACAATGAACAGGAAGTAGCTTATTAATTGCATGAGAGTAGTAATTGCTCATTAGGTGAAAATAAATGGGGATTATCTCCAAATGACAATAGCTGCCTTTATTAACAACCCAGGTGACCTAACTGAATACAACATAACAAGAAAACAGGGTTAATCTAATTACACAGAAGCAAAACAATGGAAGCACCTCATTAGTACTATTTGAAAATGCCATGCATAAAACAGTGTATTTACAGCTATAAGAGTGGACAAATAAATAATACTTACCCAAGAGTACTCATATGGGGAATACTAGTCAAAATAAATGCTAAAAGAGATTGAGAAGACTCAATATACTACAGAAAATCAGACATGTATTAAGCATTAGATAGTTCTACCTGAGCCCCAGTTGCAATTGCATCAGCAGCTTCATTCATCACTCCTAATGTTTGGAAAGCAAATACACAGAGCTCCCGTTCACAAACAGTGGGCTACACAGAGAAAGTAAGATAATTATATTTTTGTTTTAGTTTTACATTTTTAATTTTATCATGTCAGTACCTACAACAAAAACCATAACACATTTAATGGTAATTCTTTCCTTCATATTTTAACTGCAACATTAATTTTAAATAATTAATACATATCAATTATTGAGGGAAGTACATTAGAGAAGCATTTTAATAACCTCAAGAGCAAGAGTGAAGAACTTTAAAACTCATAAGTACTCACAGAGGCTAAACTTCAAAGAAATCCAAACACAATTACAAAACCAAAATTACAGGCATAGTAGTCAAATGTCCCTAACATTATCTTATCTGAAAACTTCCTAGCTAATTAAAATTAATGGAGAACAAATCCAGAAACTAAGAGGAGCAGGTTTATTCTTCATAGCTTGTTATCTGCTGTTGAGAACACACATAAGAGTTTGATCTGGAAGAAAAACTATTTTTAATTTTTGACAGTTTAACAAATTATTGGTAAAGTAAGAAAATGCACTATATTTTTTTCAGCAAAAACACTGAATTTGGGAAGGCCACATGACATTTTAATAAATAAAGATGATTCCACTCTTTTTAAGGTATTTAAAAAATAATAAAAACTCCTTGCTGTTGAACCAGTTCTTACCTACTAAAAATAATTCACAATGTCATCACAAACAAAAACAATTTATCTAAACCACATATGGAGTGAGAATTGAACATTTGAGAATTGAACATTCTGCCTTTGTAAAGAAAACAAAGCAGAAACCAAAAGGAATACAGTTTTAAGTAGGGAGAATAGGCATGACTTTTTGGGCTTCCTAGTTTCTACAACCTTTAAAGCAACTCCATCTTATTTAATGAAATATAATTAGCAGATCAACTTTTTAAAGGCTCAAGTAATGAATCACATAGTGAATTATTATAAGCATCCAAAATGAGCAAACAGTTGAAAAAATACAAGAAAGAAGCACGAATTAAAACCTTCCTTAAAATAACCCAATGAACACAATGTTTTACAACAATGTTGAAAACAATCAAAAATACTTCTTGGATACTATGAATACATATTGTCAAATCCAAACCCACTGAAACTTACAATTATCTTTGGTAGGCAATAGTAAACATTTGTTTACTAGCGATCACAACAATCACTAAAGCATTTGTAGTGACACTTTGAAGTTCAAACCAACGCCTCTAGAAATCACTTGCAGATATGAAAAAATTAATCAAGTATACAAAAATATAGCTGTTTTCTGTTTCAGACAACAGCTTGGTCAGCAACAGGCATACTGCTGTACTTGTGGTCACTTGTTTTGTAGCTCTGAAAATATATGTTCGCTTGGTTTCAAAGATTCAAGACTTTATCTCAATAGACATCTGAAATCTTCTGCATTGCCATAGTTTCACATTGGTTGCTTTACAAGAGCCATCATCCTTCAAGCCTAATAGTGTCACCCATTTGATTTACTTTATCTGCCATGTTACATTGCATTAGGCAGTAGACAAAGCCTAACATGATCTAATTCACTGTGCCATGGCACACTAGACAAGAGATTTACTATTGTCAATACTCTCAGGTTTTCCACATTTAGAAGACAGTTAAATCATCTGCTTAGTTGGGGAAACATGTTGACACTACCACCTTGACTATCATTATCAACAGTATACACCAATTTCCTTTATTCTAGAGCAAGGACTAGCTCTGGAACAGCAGAGCAATCTAAGTTCAGCCATGCTTGCCATGAAGAAAAGTTTTAAGAAAATACTTATTTTTGGTATTTTGGTTACAGTCTCAGCAAAGTACATTATCCTGAGACTTAATGATGGCAAAGGGAACACATGATTTGTCATTGTTGCTCTTTTTCTTTTAAGGCACTTGTGTTATGATCCTAGAAATGTCAGAGGATCTGGAAGAGGAAAGTTGGGAAACTGGTCATTGTACTTATGCATTGAAAGGCTTCTCTTTTTTTGTCTCAGATAGACACTAGAGAACTCCAGATACGAAGATAAGCGAGACAGCAAAATCTCACCTCTGAAGTGGAACAGACACTGTTAGCACCTATGCAATTGTTTTGATTTTATGTATTTGATGAACCTTTCTGTCCACTGAATATTTTGTCACTGCAGTATAATGGGAGAATAATACCAACCCTGTAGCACAGAACCCTGTCTTCATATATCCACCATATATCCTGTCTTTTAACCCAAACTCCAGCCATTTTGAGAGTACTTCTGAATACTGTTTCTGAAATTTGTTTCTATTTAGCAAAATCAGATGTTTTTAACTTAAATTTCCTTTAAGTGTTAGTAGCATATTCCAAGAGATTTTGGTATAGCCATTTCAGTGTCCTCTTCTCCAGTTATTAGGCGGGTTCAACCATTTAAATGTTTTAAATCCCTCCAAAATTAAAATAGTAGCTTGCAATTGAGAAGCAAACCTTTGGGGGGGGTTTGTTTGCCACACACTGTGACTTGGCTATTCAGCATTACATTTCCTTTTTTTTTTTTTTTTCTGCAATAGTGCATGCTAGAACCAATGAAAATACATGAAAACTAAGCTAATAAATCAATTCTAGAAGATAAAGAAAATCACAAGCTTCATGGAGAAACTGAGAATCAACGCTGCTCTTACTCTGATGCTAACATTTTGCATATTGCTAGTGTGTTTCCCTCTATAGAAACTCACTAGCAATATGCAAAACTTGTCCACTTTTCTCTTGTCACAAGGATGTGAGCCTTTGGGACAGGATTGATCTGACTTCAGATCATAGATGTCCCCATAAATACGAATGTCCCTACACACAGTAAACAAATAAGAACAACACTCACACATTTATAAAAGCTACATCTTCCCAACATCATCTTTGGATACTTTTACTTTGGTTTATATACATGTACTATACTAATCAAGCTGAACTGTCTAGGGATTTTTGTGTACATACATGAAATATGGACTTTTTCTTACTGATGTAGATCCGTATCCGCAAATGGACAGAATAACTTTTTATTAGATTACTAGTTCCCATTGTTTTCAAAGGGAAAATACACAGGAAAATAAGGCTTATACACTTAAATATATATTTCCCAACAGGAATTTCGTCTTAGGTGCAGGTACAGATTACAACCATCACCTTGAAGACACACAGAGCTGACTAGCTGGGAGACTTTGTTCTTCATTACCTGAACAGGGTAACTCTAACACCTTTCAGCAACAGCAGCCGCAAGGGGTCTCATATACACTTTATTTTTTCACTTGAAAAAAGAAAATTAACATAAAGTCATTGGCTTTCACAACATTTAAGTGGAAATCATTAGCACTGAAACACTATTAAGAAGGATCCAGTAGTGAAAAGTCAGAAAAAAAAAAAGGTGGGCAGTTAACCTGAGACTGCAGATGCTTGGAAGCGGAAGGTAATGACAGAAACAGAAAGCATTTTCTAAACATTTGAGGTTTTCAGACTTTTCCTTAAGCAACCCCCATTCTTTGCATGATGAGTAGCTACCACCCAACTGCTGCTGTGATGAAAAAGGGCTCAGAGTTCTGTGTTACAGTGCAAGTGCCGCTTCTTCCTGCAGTGACTGAGAGTGGCAGACACGCAAACAATCTAGTATGACATACTCTGGTTCATGGGCTCATACACCATTTAAAATATTTTCCAGGCATTATTTCAATTCCAAAAAGGTGAAACTTTCATAGCGTGTATTGCTCTGTCTTGTTACTTTCTACTGTGGGCTGAAGCTTTTCTGTATCCTAAGGGATATCACACAGACACTAATGAGGCTGCAACATGACTGACACACCTAGAAACTACTGATATAATAGGAGATGCTTCAGGGAAGGCTGAAGCCTGACTTACAGCAAATGTAATAAATGGTAAAGGTGAAACCACTAGCAAGCATCTCACTTCTACTGAAAGCAACAGACATGGAGATAAAATGTAGCTTCAAATCTCAGTTCTGTTTCCTACTTTCAACCATAGGAACTCTCAGTTTTACTGCAAAGTAAACTCTGAATAGCCTCACAATATTCACGTGTTATGTGGAACATGCTGCTCAAAGATATGGGAAATACCACAGCTGTAAGCAGATACAACATGAAAAAAGATGAGAGCAGACTGTGGCTGAATAAGAAAAGTCACTTGTTCTGTTTGGCTTTGTTTTGGCTGATTCATTTTCTGCTGGTTTTACTTCCCGTATATATACATAGATGGTGAACAAACACGCATTCTAAAATTTCTCTCTGGGCAAGGTGCACTTTGTTAAGTTGTGGCTACAGGAAAAGCAGTACTACAGTAATTTCAACTCTGTCATCAAAAAATAAAGTAATTGAAATTCATTCTATTAAAGTACAGGTTGTAACTGGAGAGGCTTTTTTCATAAAAAGAGGTAAAACCAGCCTACACTGTGGACTAAGGATCAGAGGGACCACGGAGTTATTCCACAAGAATCTTGGAATTCCACAACATCTTGGCTAAACTCCAGTCTGACTAAACATATTTGTACCCCTAGTCTTTTCTCCACAGTTCAGTAATGTTTATTCTGTTCCAAAATATTCCCAGCCTTAAGAGTCCTGGTGTTTCTGAAACATCAGTGCTTCTTTGTTTTTATTGATGCCTAAGAATTTCATATTCAAATGACAGAGAAATCCAAGACCTCTTCAAGTTAACAGGAACTCAACTTACTTCAAAGTATAAATGCATACTTCAAATAAACTAGCTTTAATATTTCATATTGCTGAGTTTTTTACTAATTCCTGCTTTGTTCCAAAGAGGCCTCAGTCTGAGGTTTCAACACAAGATGGCACTCTAAAGAGACTTCTTGACTGAAAAATGATAACACAGAGGCTTTTGAATCACCTTATTGAATGTATTCTGAGATGTTTTTTATCCTGTATAATTGTTTCACAGGCCTGTAAAATCTGTTCAATCATGTTGTTTTACCAAAGGCTTCAGTATTGCTAAATACTAATTCCTGAGGAATTCGGGAAGACATAGACATCCAGATAG